ATGTAATCTCTAGATTGGAAACATAATGGCATATATTTGACATTCCAGTGATTAGGGCTACCCAATTCGAGTAGTGGTGTACAATTTTTATCCAAGTTATAAATTTTCAACCATAGCAATTGATACATGGCCTTCTAAAATTCTGGCAAAGCTTTGTCACTGAAAGCTGTGCGAATGAGAGAGTAATGACCTACTTTTATCGAGAGAACGCGATTGGTGTAATGGAAACAATTATTATTATAACCAATTGTACCAAGGGTTGTTTTACCGTACTTTTTGTTTAACTGTACGGAAACACATACATTCTTCCGTTGATTGTGATCTTGCACAGGTTCGGTTACGCTCAGTAACCACACTTGTACTCATTTGGCACGATCTTGGTATCCTTTCCATACCACGAGATCGCCAACAAATACATCTCGACTACGGCCATCAACCGTCTTCTGATGTTTGGCTTGCGGGGAATCTTATCGGTTAACTGGCACGTAGTCTTCCTGTAGTGGTGATCATAGTCAACCGCAACTCGACACCACATTACATCTTGTTCATACGTTTAAACTAACTCGGTTGATTGATTGCAGATGTTTATAATAACAACGACTTTGTTCACTGATATTAAACCCTTCTCTCGAAGCACTGAGTTGACCTCAGAGAAATGTAGGTCTCAACTAATTTTATTTATACTCTACCGAATGATCTGGTCAAAAAGAACAGGAAATCCGAATACATGTAGTTTTAAAGAGTAATGTATTCTATACATACGACTCAGCAGCCAGATGATGAAAATGAATAAACATACATAGCTTGGAGAATATTTAGATTTGAAGAGTGGTCTTTTGATCGAAATCCGTGACTTCAAATTAACTCAGGTTTCATATTGAGCAAGCGATGACTATAAATATTAATCACTGCCACCATCAATTGCTTCCCAGACAGTTTTTAAGTCTGTTCAGTAGAAGATACCTGTCGATCAGTATTGTCGAATTCGACAGATTATAATGTACTTCATGTTCAGTAATCTCTAGTGGATTTCTAGTATATTAACAGGGTCTCAAACTGCATATCTCCAGATCCTATTTTACGTGCTTTTGTGGCGGATTGATATAAGGATGGTGATATCAACGAGAACAGAACAGAGAGCCTGAAAACGTTAGGGGTTCAGCAGTATTTAACAATACTTAACTGTCGGCCTGAGCTCTTTTAATTACATTTGCCTAAAGTAATTGAAAGACGAGTTTTAGAGAACTGAGTGGGATAATGTGGTTAGATTATCCGCAAATTTTTAAATCATATTTTTTCAGCCAGCTAGGAGGTATTGAGGTTCCACTGCAAGCTGAAGTGGGCTTGTAGAATTATGGTCTACTATGATATTAGTGCTGCTCTAATAATAGACCTAATTCTTAATTTGTAGATTCGTCATGATATAACTGCCTAATCTATAAGATCTTACGTGGAAGTCACACCATCGATTACGCCAACTCACTGTATCGTACCAATTACCAATACATGATGTAGAACAAGGTTAGGCTAGAGAAAGAACAATATATTTAATATGAATAGAAGAAATAAGATAACATTCAGCCGGGACCACGCCTGCATGGCCCAGCCATGCCGTTCGATCAACTCTAATTCACTCAACTCATTGTTCGCGCCTTCTCCATCGTTAGGTATTTCTCCGTGTTAAATATTGAATATCTATTTTCCGAGTTGTCTCATGTTCAGCTTTGAAGATTGTGTGGTTATGGTCCAATGCCACTACACTATTCTCCCACCAGAATCAACGTGATGTTGGTTCGATACCAAATTGGATGGGATCGTCGCGCGCCGGAGGTTACCAAGACTAGTAAGAATCCCCCGGGTAATGATAAGCTGAAAGATAAATCAAAAAGAAGGCGGCAGCATCTGGTCGAGAAATACATGTAATAATTTCAAAATATCTGCCTTCATGCTTAACATACTTGAAATGAAAATTTGGGTGATAATTTGAGCTATAAAAAATGGGATTACAATAATAATAATAAAACGATGCGTGTTAATAGCCGTTGGTTAATAACTTAACGTATAGGTAGTATGTATTTTGTGTTTAGAAATATTAAAAGTAATGAATATTGTAGAAATGTTAATATTGGTATTAGTTTTTGGTTTAAATTATGAAATTAAATAACGATTATGCCGGTAAGTTATCCATATGAGTTGAATTTCAATTGCATCTGTATTAGTAGGCTAACTGAAGGAACAAAAGTATTACCGTGGAGAAGAATTCCAACTAGTGTTCCAGTTAGTTTGATACGGTTTATTTAGTTACGGGGAGATTTTCTTAACCTCATTTTTACTTGACCGTGATAGGATTTAGTAATACTACTAATACACATGAACGGTTATCAAAATAAAATTTAAATACATGAGTGATAATTATATGGATTTTGGACAGATAGCTAGGAACAAATCGTTAAACATGAGTGTATTCGTAAGAGACATGCTCTAGACTCAATGTTCTGATCTGTGGCAGACTATTTATTTATATTTATACTTGCCGGCTGATTGGGCACACAAGTTAGTTGCAAGTATGCAGTTTATCATAAGGCGGAATACGATTTAATTGAGATATAGTGGTTATAAGTTATTGAAATCAGTTAAGCTTATCTGTCATATTACTAAGTGATGTGGTGCTCCAAGATGTATTTGGCTCAATAAGTTTTTACAAGATGATTAATAGTAAGTGATGCTCATGTGATTATCAGGGAGAACATAAGTTGTAACCAAGGGGAGTACACTCCCAACTCATGTCTATGATAATGGCTTGAACCTTAGTCAGTGTTGGGGTAAATTCGACATTGATGTTTTCAGTTTACAGGTTTGCTCGACTGCTTATGCTGATTATTTGCATGCATGATTGTGTCGCTAAACCATCAATAAGACTGACAAGGTTTCGAGATATTTACTGAGTGAGCATCTGATAGAGAAACATACTGTAATCATCTGTAGTGAATGAAGATAAAAGAAAAACAACACTAGTGATAATAATAAGTCAATTTGCTGACCAATTTTGTTAATAATTTCATTAATTTTATCAATCATGTTACGTGATTGTTAAGTCATGACAATGCTTTATGACGATATCCTGAGACTATTATGTTAAACTAGTTATAGTGTTGAATGAGGATTAGTCAGTGGAAAAATAGGTATTGTTGCTTTAGGTGATTCGAAACTATCAGAAATTTGTAACGTTAAAGAATCCGAGACGCCTAATTTAATTATAAATTTTAATTCAGAAAGATTCGTTTAGTGTTAATTCTGGTAGGCTACGGAGTTTCGATTTTAAACGTTTGTTTAGCCAACAGCTACCTAGGGATTTAGTTATTTTACTAGTATAGTTGATAGTACCTAAATTTTTAATCTTATTATCTAAACTATGTTCGCATTTTAGGCTGCTAATATGATAAACCAATCCATAAACCCAAATACGATTAGCAACAACGACTATGATTGGTTTATTGATAAATGTTAAAGGCGATTCGATGATCTCTAAATTCAAAAGATATGAAGATATGGTAAAACGTATGTACAGGCCAGGTTAACATGCAGGTTGTTGACGTATATAAAAATTTAAAAATAATGAACATGACCAGAAAAATAATTTTAAAGTCAAGACTGCTTATGAAACTTCAGGCAGGAATGTAACGCGTTATAAACTTTCCATGAGAAATTCCTGCATTTCGCCTAGGGACACTTACAAATATATGGCACAAGCAACTGGAAAACATATACATGTTAAGTACAAAACAAAAATCGTCCAGTAAATTAGTTAAACTCGCCTGGTCCAATGCCACTACAGGCTTTCGTATGGATGCTTCCCCTGGCGTCTTCGTCGTGGCTCGAGATCTGACTACATTTAGATCGTACGACTGATTGTTATTGAAAAATATGTCTGTCGCCTATCCTCGTACATAATTAATTACTTAATTGGCGTGGATGAAGAACGGAATTAAGTAAGTCAAATACGAGAATGGATTTTTGAATATGTATATTTCATTCACTCAGTTATTGGAACAGGTAACCAGGGAGTCGAAACAAAGAGAGAAGAGCGAGGCAAATTAAAGAACGTAAGTGAGCTAACTCGATTTAATCAGACGTAAATCAATATTTGTAGCCAGATAAGAATAAGCTACAGACATGTTATGAATAGGATAAGATGCGCACACATACACCCTCATCTAAAAACAGTCAAAACAAATAAGGGAATAAGTAACAAGGTCAAAATGTGGTTTAAGAAGAATGGGATGATAACTTTTCCGGGAGATAGAATAAATTATGTGGGCTTAACATAGCACATGACGTTACACTATGTCCCAAAACTTCATCTAGTGGTGCTTGCAGTAAGTTCTGAAATGGTCAGGATCATTGTATAAAATCTTCAGGCCAATTAGTTCGAAGGGATTATTTGCTAACTTGCTTTATCAATAGTCACTGCCATCATGTTCTCTGCTTAGTCTGAAGATGATGCGTATAAGCAGTGTTCGACAGTGCTGTCGCCAATTAGGTCAGTAGTCAATTTTAATGGGAGGAGATGTGTTTGAACTAATGATAGACATATCGTTTCCCATGTAAAACGAGCTGGTAAGCAGCCGTAAAAGCTGCTCAGTACGAAGTGCTCACTCACCATATCGTGCGACACTATTGAAACATCAGACTTGAAGTTGTGAACAGTTTTGAATCTGATCGGTACGTGTATGCGGCTCATCGTATATAACCTACTCAGGATTTCACGCTATGCAATCCTGGTTTTGATTGGTAAATCTTATTGATATTGAGCTTTTCTTCTTTACAATTGCATTTGACTAATCTCGGTATCAAAATAAAAGTTCATGCTCCTTGCTAATTAATCTTCTGGCCCACTCTCTTTTACAGATTTCTCTACCTTCGCTCTTCGATATACTCTACCAGCAAACAATATAACTTCAGAATAAGCACACACTGTTCCACTTACAGTTTTCAAAAGAATGGGAGGGCTTCTATCCTCACCTAAAACTGACAAATACAATGAAACTGGTTGTGGCAATGGACTTCGATACGGGATCTCCAGCATGCAAGGCTGGCGTCTTTCAATGGAGGATTCTCACTGTGCCATAACACAACTTCCTGGGAATCTTAAGGATTGGTCGTTTTTTGCTGTTTTTGATGGCCATGCTGGTGCCTTGGTATCAGAACTCTGTGCCACAGAGCTGTTGAAGGTTTGTCGCCTATTTGCGTACTTTGTGATATTAGATTGTTGTCCGGATTCGAATTCAGCCTAGGATTTGAGGTTCCGTAGACTATGATCACTATTTAAGTAACCAAAGTTTCAAGGTGCTGTCCTTTTTTGAAGATAAATTTTGATTTAGGTGCTTACCTAATAAAATTGTTCAATACCTGGTATGTATATTTGACTTGTAAACATGTTCGTTTCTGAAAAGCGATAAGAATTAGGGACTTTGCCACGTTCCATCCACTTTTTCCATTCGAATTCTGTCCTCTGTAATGACATTGTTGATGGCTCGAATTCGCTTCATTACACATATTATCACCTATCCAATATTTCACACTTCTAAAACCCGTTGGTTAATCTTTGTGCATATGACAGCCTTGATGCTTGTCACCACCAGTTAACCTTTCCCTGGGTTAGGGATAGGGTAGTAGGTAAAGCTAACGAATCGATCGATGAAATAGCGAATCTTCAACTGAGATGTTTGGGGCATGTTTCGCGTATGCCCAATCCCGCTTATTGTGTGGGGGAGTGGGCCGCAAGAATGTTAGGGGTGGCCAAACCTGGACATGGCACCAGTCTATGAAGTCATTGACAGTTGGACCTAGTCATGTTAATGGATGTAGACTACCTAGTTGAGTTCCACGTGATTATCGTAACCAATGGTTAAAGACTTCGCGTGAAATTGCCTAAAGTCGTTTCCAGCGGTTCGGGTGCGTCCATCATTCGTCCTCTCCTAGATTTTAGGCTTCTGAGTTCTTCATAACTTTCCTTTGTTTTCATTTCACAAACTTATATTTTCTCGAATCGTATCTTCGATGTTTAGTCTTTCTTATTACCATTGGTACTGTAGCTACCTTTACTATTCTGTGTTTTTGTCTGACGACTCCATCTCTGTGCTAATGAGGTATTTCAGCTTAAAACAGGCCCTACTTTGCGTATGACTGACCGACTCATCAAATTTCACTACAAAACGAGATATGCGTCTGAGATGTTATGTTATTTGACTATTCCTGTTGAAGATCAATGGTATGATGATTTTCAAGACTTCAAATAATACAACAGTTGATTCGCATTAATTTAGATAAAAGAAAAATCCATCTAGTCACTCACCGACGTTACTAGTAGAATTATTTGTCAAATACAGCAGAAACTCTGCAATATATTCGGGGTACTAAGGGTATTTGAAATTCCCAACCAGAACCCCACGTACAGCAGCAACAACCTGGCAGTACACGAAAGTATTCTTGTAGAAAAATACTTAGTACTCCTAGCTTGGCTGGCAATAAAACTCAATGTATTTTCCGGGAGAATGGCTATTGATGCACTTCCGGGAAGTGTGCATTACGTTGAACAAGTGCATTCAATCGAAAACTAATAGAAAACCATACTTTACATGAGGAAAACAACAAAGTATAGGCATCGTAAAATCCAACGATATTGATCGAGTTTGAGTTAGTATATTTCCCAATGTAGCTTCAAGTAAAATTTTTCTGAAAAATTCTTAACTGGAGTTAGATGTATTTAACAGATTACAATGAACACAAATCAGAGGGAACATATTTTGTAGTGTCACGATACAGGGGATTGGGGAAAAGTAGTCAGTGTCCTATCTGAACTATCTGGTGTTTTTCGAACCTTTATTTGGCTGAACACTATGTTAATCATGACTGACTGAGGAACCTCTTTATTTGAACTAATGTGCTCTAAAATATGCAGATCTTTGTCCTTATATTTGAGTTAAGGAAGGCCTATGTAGTAATTATACACGATCCCATACGATTAGCTCCATGAATTTGTAATAATAAGGGCAATTTCCCTTCGTCCTATTTTTTGTAGCATATTCTATTACACTGCTCTTTGCTTATTAGATTAAATGTGCGAAATGCTTTTAGTTGTTATAGACAAATTTATCACCAACATTCCTTCAGTAGTCGTTCAGTCGATTCATGGCTATTTAGGACTTTGGTAACGTAACAAAAGTCGTCTTTCGTTAAAATCTAAAATTTGAAGATAGTGTGGTTTGCCGTATAAGCTCATTTTATTCTGTTGATTTGTATTACCTTTTTTTCACACATTCATTCATTCTAATTAACTTCAAGGTGCTCAATGAATTAGTCATTCAACTGGTTTCATTATTTACCAAATAATATTCTGCCTTTTTTAGTGTATTGTGGATACTGAGGAATTCAAGAAAATCAATCCTGACTTGGCACCTAGTTTACAAGAAGTAGAACGTGGCATTCGCGATGGTTTCTTATCTTTGGATGATCGTCTTCGACACCTTCCTCAACTTGCTAGCGGTGAAGATAGATCAGGATCCACTGCTGTCTGTGTGCTCATAACACCTAAACATATTTTCTTTGCCAATTGTGGCGACTCTCGTGCCATACTCATTCGAAAAGGTAAAGTTGCCTTTGCTACAGTTGATCATAAACCTGTAAATCCAAATGAGAAACAGCGTATACAAAATGCTGGTGGTTCCGTTATTATACAACGAGTAAATGGTTCTCTTGCGGTTTCTCGGTATGTTGGTTATGGTTTTAAAAAATTCTCTGCTGCCTTTGTGTTTGTACACATGTATATTATAATTTGAGTGATTTTCAATGAAGCAACGGTTCAGCAATCTACAATATAACTACCTGAGGTCGCACACCTATTTAGCTAGGTTTAATATCGTGGTACAATCAAGTTGCACTCCTGAAACATATAATTTTTACTTGGATTTGTTGTTGAAGTTAATATGCACAGGGCATAGTGAATCGTAACTCAAAATAACAGTTCATTACCAGCAAAACTCGAAATTTACAATACGGTATTGAGTATTTAAGACAGGATATTTCATCTAAGTTTGTCTTTAATTGATAACGAAGGTTGATACAATGTCTCGGTATTTTTTGGAATCTCTCGAGATACTGTCATATTTTTATTTTAGTATCCCCAATCATTGCCTACTTCGAAGGGTGATATTTTCTGGTAGATTAGACTGGAATGATGTTAGGGGTGCCAAACCTAAACATGGCATTAGTCCGCGAAGTTGTGAGAGTATACTTTATGGATGACCTTTGAGCGACTCTAAAGTGACCTTGAGAGTATCCACCTACTTACTAGGGCTAAATGAGGGTTATAAAGCAATGTGCTCGACCGTTGTTGCTACCTTGACGTGGCGGTCGGGCTTGCCTATCGTGATGAAGCAACCGAGCTATACTGGCTGGAACAACCGTTCCTCAAGGTCTTACCATGTCAGACAGGTCGGTTGAAGAGCGGTAAGACTAAAAGCAACAAACCCAAGGTCCGAAGGCGAAGTCGTACTGCTGACTGTACAGAGGTGTGACAGCAGTAAGGTGTTTCTTTCAGACAACCAGTATGACAGCGATGCTGCCTTCCCACAAAGAGGGGTGGGGTTAGAAAAGGTCGACCCTAAAAATGCACACCTCGCCTTATCGCACGGATATCCGTCTCCGGCGGTAAGGTCTCAACAATACGGAACTAACAAGAAAATTAACCATAAAGAGGTCGTGTGTGACCGAGCTCAAGCAATTGTCCCTTGGGCACTGCGGTCACGCTCTCAGGTCACTCAGACCACCTCTAATCCAATTTTCTTTCCCGGCACCTCCAGAATAATCGTTCCACGGTGTGGACAACCGGGAAGTGATAACCACCCTCATACCTCTAACAGCACTCAAGACCACTGTATTCATAATCAACCTCCCTCTGACTGACTAACGGTGACAATTGAGATGTACTAATAGAATACTCGTTTGCTCAACGAAACTTGTGCTGTTGCTCGGGGGTTTGGACACTCAGTTTTAAATTGTTTGTATAAAGATTTAAAACTCTCATCTTCCTCCAAATGCCCTGGTATGGCTGAGGGTGGGGAGATCACGCTCACCCCTTCGAAGTGCTCTCACGTGGCCACGTGCATACAACCACTGCCAGGAAAGTCCTACTTACTGCCTTCTCGCGGCGGGGGTGTTGTTTACGAAATTGAAAGCACCAAAAGCGAATGTGCGGCACTTTAACCAAGTTGGTGGACACGGAGGGTCCACCTAGTGGAGTTGGAAAACACTGCTTCTTAACCACTGGTGCACATGGGCTGGCTCCAGGATCCCGAGTGAACAAAAGGCGTATGAACCTATTGTTGGTCACTGGTTACTATGAGACTGCGTCTCCGGTCGTAGTCCCATAAGAAAACCACCTGCTTCGGTTCAGGCACCTGAGCAGTATCACAGCCCTCACACAAACCGAATGGTGAAGTGTAGCCCATATGTATTTGGTGTCCCCTTGTATCAATATTTATGTTTAAGTAAATAAATAAAAACTCCTTTCCAATTTATTAAGGTTTCTCACATTTGATTGCCATGATTAACCGTCATACCGTAGATGTGACTCACTTTTTGACAGGAGTACATACTTTAACATTCTGGGCAATTAATATTTTTAGCTAAAATTTCCAGTGTATCTTTTTACGCTATTATTTCGAAGTTATGCTTAATCGTTGTCATAATTCTTAATTTTTTAGATCATTAGGGGATTATGCCTTTAAAGCTGCTAAAGATTTAGGTCCTACGGAGCAACTTATATCCCCAGAACCTGAAATCACTGTTGTTGATCGTGATAAAGATTTAGATGAAATTATCGTTTTAGCCTGTGACGGTATTTGGGATGTTTTAACTAATGAAGAACTTTGTTTACTTTTGCAAAATCGCATGCGATGTGTTGATGACTTATCAATGATATGCAATGAAACTATTGATATGTGTTTGTATAAAGTGAGTTTTTCCCTTTAATTTTCAGTCATTTGAATGTCGTTTCTGATGTTGATGTGTGTGTAAAACTGCTGATTTTGTATTGTTCAATAGGGCTTGGTTCAGTCTGTTTAATCTTAGCTATTTTTCAAAGGTAATTAAGTATTTCTTTTTTACTGTCTCCAATCTATATATCGTGATTTTCATTTTTATCGTCATGCGAAAACAGTCACCAGGCTGTATCACTTGTTATAACATGAACAGTGCGATTAGATATAAACCTGTACCTGGTAAATGAGCCATAAATCAAAGTGATGATAGATAGTGGATAAATTATTGAAAGTTAAAAACTTATGGTAGTGATTTACTCTTTTTTCATTAAAAATAAATCAAGAGAAAGTTAAATACGACATACCATCATTTTTCAGTCCTATTTTCATATGCTGTAGCAATTCATTCGGTTGGTAATTAGACAATGTAAACTAGTCATAGGAAATGTTTGTGTTAAGTAGCTAAATGAAACGAAAATTTTAGTTGGACTCAAATCTAAGCCTCTGCCGTTTTCCTTTTTTGGAAAGGTAATAAAAGCGAACATATAGATATACCCTTGTGGAAAAGCTATGTAGAATTTAAAGTTGATTCAATTCCAACGGTAGGATCAGTTTTAAACAACAACCTCTATCTTGAATCTGAGAGTTTACTTACTGCCGCTGTATCTTTTCCTCACTGTTAAAACATTAGCTCATAGACTTATATAATTGGAAATGTTTATAGTATTGATGTGGTTGATGTTTCTTGAACCATTTGCTTTCGACAAGTAATTATGGCGTAAGAAATGTTTGTTATTTGTGATTAATTTACTGTATAGGTTTGTGTATTCGGCTTCAAGCCACACGTTTTGTTTGAGAGATATTTAAACATATTCACTCATGCCGTAACATATGTGGTGAGCATTGACCTTGAAATCCGATGGTTTAGACTTAATTGTTTTAAGCACCAAGCTACCATGATCTGTACTGTTGGATATAATCATGAAGCGAGTTCAAATTTTAATCATTACTAAGTCCTAGTAAGTTTAGTCATAAAATCTTTTGCATAAGCTTGTTTTTATAGCGTATTAGATTAAATTGGAAATTATTATCAACATCTCCGTAGAGTAGTCGTTATAAGTTAAGAAAAGAACTTTCCGGCATGAATATGTGATTGCTATGACCATGTGTTTCACGTCTGTCCTTAACCTACTTTTAATCTGAATTGACTAGTAATACATAGCAATATATACATGATTATATCATAATACTTAACGTAAGTTATTTACGAAGAAGAGGCTTATATACTATTTCTGTAAAGGCTACCGATACTATCCGGTTGCCCATGCTGATTTGACAGAGCTAAAATTAATCGCATTAGAGCGAATGACTTAGAGTTATTATATTCCTCAATCGTTTATTTGTCAACTGGCTTCTAATTATATTCTTGTATTCATTATTTTGTAACCAAACGTGTTATATTGTTAAAAGAAGAAACTTATTCCAATGAGCAGCTGTCTATTCTTCTGATATCAGTTCAATTAGTGGGGGTCTTACGTCTGTAATTCGGTCTCGTAAACAGTTATCACTCGAGTTCATTGTCTTATAGGATATTATCAACTAAGCGACGTCTTTCGTTCTCTAATTTAACAGTCCTCAAACAAATTTTCATTACAGATCATAAAAGGTTAATCCATAACACATGTTGAAGTATAGTTGAATTCGAAGTTAAAATCTGCTGATTGAAACTTGAGTGGTTTGATCACTAATAGATCGTCAGAAATTGTGTAGTGGAATTTATATGTCTCACAACATGAAACACCTTGTAGCTTTGTGAAATCAGCTATACTTTTTGTGATTGATAAACAAGTGAAAACCAACATTGTTTCGTTATCGCATAGACTGGTCAATTGGTTTATCACTTATTTACAAATTCTATAATTTTTATTTTCCCTTATTGAAGGGGAGTTCCGATAATATGAGTATGGTTCTAGTGGCATTTGATCCTGCTCCTCGAGTAGATCCTACTTCTAAAACGGAAGATGAAAATTTAGAATCTGTTTTAGTACAACGTACTAAAGGTAAGACGTTGGTGCTATTGCTTTATAATATTCTGTTATTTTATCGTTAGTAGTTTAGGGGATACTTGTCGCTGGAATGTCTATGCTCTTATTTTACAGTAAGTTTTATCATGCCTGATGCGTAATGGTTATGCAGCTGTAGTGCTCCTACCAACATTTCAATATTCGATCTGAACACGGAACTAACGAACCAAAATTTATTCGATTAGAACAAATCGCGTTCTTCTGTATAGCATACTAAGCGCCTTTGAGTGACTCGTATTAAATTATATCAAAACACAAACTCTTTGCTCAATTTAAACGGTTCTAATTTGAGAAAAAACTATCAAAAGTACAAAACACCTCAAGCGGTACAGCCTGTGCTATATAGTCAAAGGTTTCTCTAGCACAAAGTAACGTGTTAAACAGCAAAAGGAATAGTTAACAAACAATAGTTCGATACCTGAGAATGGGATCAGATATCTATCGTCAAGGTTTCCAGTAACTTTTCAAAGCAGACAGTCAGGTTAACAATCATACACTGAACTACGCCGCGACATCGAGTTTAGTCAAACACGACATTATTGTCAATTGTCCGCCAACATGCAACAGTAAAATTAAGTAATGAGGTAAATCTCTAACCAAGATCAAATAGAAAGGTCAAGACAAAAAAGACTGAAGAACATAGAGTGTGGTTAAAAGAGACCTGAATGAAAGTTAGAATACAGGACAGGGAAAAGGAACAAATGAATATCAATACTGCCCAATAAAATGCTTGGGAGGGATTTTCAGAGTGTTCTTTCCGTTATAATGAATGTTGTTCACCTAGAGGAAAGAGAATTAGTGTTAATTACATAAATATGTAAAGCGAAATCTAAATGTTTATGTTTTGGGATTCTTCGTAGTACTATCATCCTGCCTACCAACTGACTTACACTCACTTATACAACAGTGTTTTAGAACATGGACAAATTTGCCTGCATTTAATCTCAGATGATACATACTATTTCTTACCTCTATGTAAAATTCTAATACATATTTGGTTGTATGCAGCTGATGAGAAATCACGAAATATACTGAATTCATATTATTCTGTATCTATATTTGTTCTGGCTTTATTTAAATTCGTAAAGGAAACTAACTGCTTGAAATCTCAGATCTATTATTTTACCTGATGGTAACACTTGACCCAGTCTGAGTCATTTTGCTGATGTTTGTTATTGAAATATCTATCAAAGAAGTTCAAAGATCTATAGAAAGCTAGGATTTGAATGAACCATTTGAAGCAATGTTCGTCGGTGCATCTCACATTTCTTAATTCCTATTCAATTTTGTCATAAATATTCTCTTAAAGATAACTCTTCATTTGATCTTTCACTCTTTCGTCTCTTAAATAGAAAGCCTTTCATCAGCTGTGAGTAGTACACTTATCATGTAGTTGTGTTTGATGAGAATACTATTAATGGTGCACTTGCAATAATTTTTATAATCGTAAATTTTCAAAGCTATTTTATTACTTTTGGACTATATTTCATAAATGTGGTTTTCCTCTACCGTCCAAACACTTGGAATTTGAGGCTTTATAACCTTTAATTTTTTTTCACTAGGATTATGCAGAAATGTTAATTAAAAATTCAAGCTATCGAATTCTCCGTCTTTGCACACTATCTGTAACTTAAGAATATGGATTGATAATATTTGAGGAAAGTCTTATTTTCCTTAGATTTCAATTTGAAAATAGTTCTGCTGCATAATCATGTTCACGACAGCTGGTTGCAAGTTAATTCATAGTAATGGAATCTGGGAAAGTGTTATTCAGTACACCAAATAATGCAGCAGTATAGCAAAGCAAGAAAGTTCATGTAATATGAAATACTACTTACTTACTGTCTAATTTAGTGGTTTATGGAACTTTATTTCTGGTGAAGTCACTTTTCCTTACTGTTTGAAGTCATTTAGAGTCATTGAAAACGAAGGAGCACCAAACTACTTCTTTAACCTGCGCGATTCGTCAACAATGCACGTTCGTATCCTTGATATGGAATCCAACCGAGGATCCTAACATTTTGCAACTAAAGCGATACTGTTCAAATACTGTGTCGGAATCTAGCGTCTACGTTTTCCGACTTTAGTCATTTCGGGATGTAGCACAATCATCAATAATTAAGTGATCTTTGGTAACTTTGAGATGTATGTGTCACCGATTCTCGAAAGAACGTTAGTGTGTCAGCTCAGTTTTGCGCACCGATGAGAGCTAAAAGAACGAGTTAAGCGATATCGGTTAATCTAAACCATGAAATTCCGACTCAACAACCGAATAGTGTCATGCTCATTCCGAGCTTCGTTGGATTAAGATTTTGCCTATTATAGAGTCATTAGTAGACGAAATGGCTGTTCAGTTCTTTTTAACTCTTAGTGGCTTTTACGAATTATGCCGATCCACAGTGAAGTTTACTATCAAAATGGTATCCATATTATAAGCTTATTTGCTAGTCCTCTTTAGTCTAGTCACAGATGACCAGAGGGTCACTAGAGGTTCTTTCACCAAGTATTCCATTAAACAGGTCTATAGCGGATTGGTTCAACCATGGATATTTCAATTGATTGATTACAGATTACACTTTTAAGTGGTTCATTCAAACAACAGGCAAAAGATGTGACTTGAAGCCTAGTTTAAGAACTTGTCTGCATAAATTGCAAATATTTTGCAAATCGAAAATATGTAATCTTACGTGTATGTAGTTCGTATAGCTTTATAATACTAACTAAAGCGATTTAGTTTGTGCTATGCGTATAAAATCAAGTCAGTTATTTGTTTTAAATTTGTAGTATAATTCCATTTCACTAAAGTTCTAAATTCATTTCTTTTCTCTATTTTATGTATATAATGGGGCTATTTTAACTTTTCACTTCCGGCTTTTCCGCATTATAATTTACTCTTTTTTTCCAGTAAATAATGTGTCTAATTGTTAAATGCTATTTTCTTTGATGTATACAATGAATATCAGTGACAAGAAAGCTTTTATTTGCTTTGAGATCAGTGATTAAACTATGCATAGTGTTTGGTTTTTAATTTTAAATTTTTTATTTTTCCTGATGTTTATCTGAAAGGACTATAATTTCCTTTTCTCATTATAGAATTTCTGGAAAAGCATAGCAAAACTGAAGTAACAACTGAAATGGTTGTAGAAGATTTACAAGCATCTGTTGGCAGTTTGCCATCTTCTGGAAATTGGCTTTGCAAGTAAATCCCTTTCTGTACTTTGTTTCTTTCAATGTTATTTTATATTTTCTTCTTATCGGTATTATGAAATGAAGGAGGTACATTTTCATGCGAAATCAATACTGATCCGCCGAACATTTATAAGTCCACGATATTAGGGCAGTTAAATTATAACATTGAGACTTGATTATGCTTTTGTAGACTGTGATGAAGAAACTAATTAGTTGAAAAGGTCTTGATGGTTCTTATCCAAGATCCAACTTTCTAAAACTGGGAAACAATCTGTCAGTATTTTTACTTGTGTTATAATTTTAAAATAATATTGACTTATAGAGCAAATAACTTCTACACTTTTTAAAATCAAAAGTCCGATATATATTCGTGAGAATACTTAGAAAATTCACTAGGGATTGTTTATAATATACTTTATTCATCATGTTATACGAGCTAATAATCTTCTAATTCATTGACCACGTACAAATATATACATACATAGTTCTCTAAATTCTACCAATACTACCTATTTGACCGAACTTAAGAATATGTGGTTGGCTTCAAACTTGAAATTCGAAAGAATGAAAATAACAGTCGTCGTTTTTTCCTTGAATAAACAAGTCAAGTAAGTAATAAATGGGAGAGATTATCTGGTGAAAGTCAATATTATTAGTACTGGGAGTTTCGTGGTTTATGTCACGTAATGACTCTAGGCAACCGTTGAAAACCAGGGTGTTTTGTTTGCAGCAGTACACATTCAAGACCTCTCACGAGATGGAGCTTAGAAACCTCAGATCTCTCAATGATGAACTTTTAGCTTTTAGAACATTGGGTTCAGCTTTGAACAACAGCCCATTTGGTTAAGATTCAATTTGCATTTAGAGCTTGAGTCAACTCGCTTTATTGCTCAATAATCATCCACTCAACCCCTTTGTTGGATAACTGCGTCATTTTCGATTTGGTTGAGCTCCACTCGTCATGGCTCTTCGCTAAAGACCCTCAGGGTTCAATTCATGGGCGCATACCTCCAAGGAATCTCATTTTAGGATGAAACAGTTGTCTAAGGTTTTCCTGGTTTCCAACTAAGTTCCGTCCGCGATGTAAATCACGAAAAACCTTTCTTCGTATAACTGGTGTTTTATGTATGTTATTCTGTGATCGTTAGTCATTTTTGTTTGTGGTGGAAAATTGGTATGTACTTTATTTCGGTTGGTAATTACTTTTTTTAATGATTAGTTTTGAAATATTATTCAAGTCAACTTTAATGTATTTCAATGCAGTACTAATCTGTAAGTATGCAGGGTTTGGTGATGGAAAGGTAAACTGCTTCAAGCTATTGAGTTACTTATTTTGACATTTGGATGAATTGTTTCGTTTTGAATACAAAATTAAGACATTATGTGAATTGAGAGATTGTTCAAACAATTCGATTGATTGTACGTCGTATATTTATTTATTTGACAAATGTTGTAAGAATTTAAATAGTTTCTCCAGTAAAAATTGATTTTAAAGCATATGTATTCAAGAATTCCCTTCTTCTGAATAAATTCAAAACTCCATTCCATCTAGTTTGTGGAAAATATCAGCAAATTCTAGTGATTACTAATTCGTTAAACTCTGCAGAAAACCTGAAACATCAACCTTGTATATCCTAGCGGAGTCACATGACGTAGTTAGTTTTGTAATTCAGATTCTTAAAAATTGTCAGAATTTAGTGTGGTTCACATTCAGTTAAATAAAGTTAATTTGGATAATTATTCAAACTACAGAAAGTATAAAATGGGAATTATAACTATATGAGAAATATATGATTAACTTAATGCAAAGTGACTTATCTTTTCAATTCGTTGTTTTTCTCTTCTTAGGATTGGCAAAATCCAAGAACTGATTGATTCTCATCGTCTGGCTTATTCAAATCGTGGGATTGAGAACCGATGAACTCATATACTCTCTTATCCTTCATTCTCTCATCTTTTTTATTCTTTCTTTTAAATGTATCGACTGCTTGTGTTACGTTTATGCTTTGTATGTATGTATAGGTGTTTGTAAATATGATGAATATACTTGAGCTAATCTACTCTTGTCTGATTTTCATATGCTTAAATGAATATTCCTAAATTGTTGCTTATAGATCTAGTCACTCGCTGTTTAATCAATTGATGGAAAGTTGCTAATGATGATACTATAGGGTTTGTACATTTCACCTTGTTGAATTTTATTCATTTCCATTTGCAATCAATATTTCCGTCATATATATATATATATATATATATATATATATATATACTTCATGCTCAATATATCTTTATTTTCCTTCCTTTCTATTCACCGAAGTATGTGTATTATCTTCAGTCTATCAAACGATAATGTGCAGTATTATATATATTTATATATATATTTTTCTCTATCTCTTCATTTTCTTTTCACATATTTGTGTAATATATTTCATGTGGTTTCATTTGATCCTAACAGTAGTAGAATAACGGTAATAGTAATAGTATTTATGATTATTATTATTTTTTATGATACTGTTGAATTTGTACATGATCAGCAAAAAGAAAAAGAACACAAGTTGGTACTGCATTTATTTATTACCATTTTCATATTCATAAATTTATAGTTTTGAATGAGGCTAGATTGTTTTTTTTTGTTGCTACTTGGTAATTAATGTTGGCGTTTTATTTCACTCATGTTAACGTAATTTCTATAATTTGTTTCTTCTATGTTGCTAGAGGAAAATTAACCCAGAGATATTCAATATTATGTTTGTGTGCGTGTATGTGAATAAATATGAATCTAATCATTTAAAGTCAAAGATATTTTTCTTTCTATACAAATAAGTCATTCATTGGTCTCAATGTTGTCTCATTTAAATATTGTTATGAGCACTAGATGATCAATAATAATACAAATAGTGTTGAACATAAGAATTATTGAATATCCGGTACTGTTTATTCTTTTATTAATTATTATTTAGTAAATATGTTTACATATACAGAGGAGAGTATGTAGTTATAACAAACTGAACAATACTAGCCATGGGTTTACAAAAAAATAATGAGTAGGTCCTATATTGTGCTTTTTTTCCAATGTTGTACTCAATAAATATGTATCTTCAATATGATAATATTTTGATGCACCAATGCCAACTTATATGCATTTAATTTGTTGATATATTTTACTTTTGTTTTTTTATTTATTTACATTGTTATATAAGATGATTAATTAATAACAAACTGTATGTAACAGAATATTTGTATTTGTAGTAAGCTATTTGTAACCAGTTTTGAAGATGAATACTGTTAATGTTTCATTAAAATATTCGTTACGCGTAAATTTATTCACATTAAACATGTGTAACAGATTTTCTTTTTGTTTTAGAGATATCTGGAACCTCGTGCATTTTTATGCATAGGTTGTTTTTCCTTATATTGGGCAGTTCAAAGTTTCTGTTAGTTTACATTTCGTTTAATTCACTTAAGAATTTCACATGAATTTTGGATATTAATTCGTTTAGTTGGTAATTACATGTTCGTTCAATGAATTTATCATTAAATGGTGTGAATCATAACAAGACAGCTTAGTGCTCTTTGTTTTTTCAATAAACAGATTTCACATTGACTAGACTTATATACTATCAAGAATAACGATAAGTTATCAGCTTTTCAAGTTATGATATTGACTACTAAAATTCCTAGTTATATCAACTGCACTAAATATTCAAAGATAAAATTAAGTTATTATTTACTGTATGATATTTCTGTACGTCACCACATACGTGCAAATAAAGTGACCATGTAGCATGAAATAGTTAAGCCAGTTTAGTGAATTCATGATAAGAGCTAAATACAATGTCTAATATTACGAATAGGGAAGAGTTATGAAAAGGTATTTTTTGGAACAGATTATTTTGAATTTGTCATTTGCATCATGTTTTAAGTTTGAGTAAAATACCATTGATAACCTAGAAGCACTAGAAGGCTATTGTCTTCTATTATAAGACTTCTTTTCAGTGACCATCTACAACTCTTCCAGGAATCAGACAGAAGTTATCCAGACTCCACAAGATATGAATTATCTTCAAACCAGAGATGATAAATAGCTTTCGTATTTGTATACTTACAAACAAACAGTATGAAGCTTAGAAAGCTCCTAGTAATCTTTATTAAATGTTGAATTTCATAAGAATACATTTGTGATGCGGAGATATTATACTATGAGAAATAACGATTTTCTTAGTTCCATCGACTATCTTTGTTTTCGCATAATACTACCTAGTATTCATTCAACGAATTGTTTTTCTAGTTGATTTCTTTTGTTTATTGTCCAGTAATTAGTAATAGGAAAATGTTATACAATATTCCACAATAATGTACATTAAGTTCAAGAAAAAGATATTTAATAACTGTAAGCTAGTGACAAACCGAATCCACGAAAACTCATAATATAAATCTACTGGTTTTTTTCATTGATACATTCTCCATCTGTTTTATCAGGAAATTAAGCTTTGAGTAATAATAATGTCCTTTTGGAGGATTTTCACACACTTGTATAAACACTTTTCTTAATAATCCATTGTCGTTTGTTTCTCTATCAGTTGTCTATACCAGTATATTACATAATTCTGCTCTTGATATCAACAATTCACTATTCGAGTTAAATTGTATTTATTGTCATTTTCATATTGCATTATGATTTTTAATATTTTTGGCATATAATGTCATAATGTAATCCATAGGATAATAATCAATTAGTAACTGATTGGAGGTGAATTCTAAGTAATTGATTATCGAATTTCAATAAATTATTTCACTTTAATCGATCGATAATGGTATAAAATAAAATAATGAAAGGTTACAGTTTCAATTTAAATTAATGTGAATAAAAGTCACAAAAAGAAAAAAAATAGTGTCAGCTCTAGAAACAAAAAAAATGTTAAAGATGTATAGAAATTCATTAAAATGTAAAAAATAGAAAATGATAAATTTAACCGTTAACCTAAGTTTACTAAGCGTGATTTAATGATAGCTAGGTTAGATGCTTATTAAAATTTTGATAAAATATTGTACTATACCATGCTAATACAATATTTAAAACAATTAACACGAATTGAGTATTATATATGTATATATTTCCGTTAATAAACACTTTGTCAAGTGTTAGTAACAAAAATTTTGAAAAAAATGAATTCAATTCATTTTGGCTATTCTAAATCTCACTGATTGAAATCATGAGTCAATTGAAGCTAGATCACCATGGAAAACCTGGAATCACTGGACGGCCGTTTCGTCCTAGTATGGGACTCCTCGGCAGTGCGCATCCACGATCGTGCACCCCGCGAGATTCGAATCCATGATCTATCAGTCTCGCGCCAGGCGCTCAACCAACTAGACCACTGAGCCGGCATCCAACGGTGTTAATGTCTAACTTCAACCAATCCACGAAGTTGCGCCACCGTAAACCATTGTTTTCAGTGAGCCGATATCTCGTGGGGTGCGGAATCGTGGACGCGCACTGCTGAGGCGTCCCATACTAGGGCGAAACGGCCATCCAGTGCTTCCAGGTTTTCCATGGTGGTCTAGCTTCAATTGACTCATGATTTCAATCAGTGAAGTTTCTAAAAATCTCCACAAAACCCGTTCTGATATTCTAAGTCTTCCAAATAAACATTAGTTTTATGCTTCGGAGATCCAGAAAATCCCTCGAGAAAAGCTCAAAGGTGCCGTGAAAACTGGAAAACATCTTATTCAATCAGCGACCAATAAAGTATCTAGGACGTAAAGTCATATTTGTGACTGAATGATTGCCAATCCTGCCACTATGTTTAGCAGGATTCCAGAAGCCCAAGGCCATCTGAAATGCTATAAATACCCTAGATTTTCTGTACATAAACTAACCCTGAAGTAAAGCGTTCTTTCCATATTTTCCGTGCTCAAGTAAGAAAATTATGGACAAGTATAGAATCGAGAATCAAGTTAAAGAGAGAGGCAGTCAAGATCGAGGTGGACAGGATAAGTTGTTAGCCATATGTGGGGAAATTCTAATACTGCAATCCCACTTGAAGTTTTTGCTGAGTATATTGTTCAGAAAAAACAGTGATATCTCCACGATTAAACCGTCGAGTTCTGAGAACGAAACTCTAAAATTATCTGTGAGCTATAAATCTGAAACCCCATCTTGAAGGTGGTATGAGGCTCTGTTGAGCAAAGAGTTTTTCTCAGGGATTTTGAAATTTGCCTTTTCTACTTTACCGCAGCAATTTCTTGTTGAAGTTCAATATTCGTGAAAACTTTTCAACTCTCGATGATCTGTCAGGTTATAGTTTTGGTGTTAAGTTTCTATCGATGAGTCAAGGTGAATAATCACATCAGTCGAAGTTAACTATTAGAATTTATATATGGCTGGATAATAGCTTTTTTTGTCAAAAGTAATATGACAGGACTATACCATGACACGTTCTATTGAACTGAAAATGACTATTCACCGCTCCTCTCCCATGCTAATAAGACAATCTATTAATCAATTATGTAGAGATTGCAATAGTTCATTTCTTCTTAAAAATCATGGAAAGGATTGTATTTAGGAAAACAAAATCTTGATAATCAAACCACTTACTACAGAGTTGAAACCTTAACAAATCCCACTTCTTAGCTAAACATCTCCATTTTCTCAAATGTTGGTTTGATAAGGGTAATAAGGCATAATAAAAATTAAAGATAAATATCAAAGTTACTAGAAACGGTAATTCTAACAGTGGAAATTATTACGATATAAGATAGATACAGAGGTGAGAACGTTTTGATGGTTTATTAATTATCTCATCGATCTTCAGCAGTTACCATATGGTCAAAATAATTTCCAATATCACTCTTGACGTTTTACTATTAGTGGGTAGGTCCAGAAAAACCATTTCTGAAGTTATTACTTCATATTCAGTT